GCTCATGTGACATGTGTACTGACAGCACTACCTACAGTTCTTACCGTAGGTCCAGAAGTTCTCACCACAGTGTTAAGGTGAACAAGTGCTGCCTGCTCTGTTATATACAGTGGTTTCAGTGTTGGCACTGGCACCCCATTGCCCGTCTTTCTGTCTACTCTGGTCCACCACCAAACCACCTAACTGGGGGACCCAGACGTGCCATCGAACCTCTGATGGCCCACTGCAGATCCCCAGAGTTTTCCGTCTCGGAATTCCACATACATCGATGAGGACACGATCCAACCGATTCTGCAGGGCATCGTTTCCAGTCACGGCGGTTTTCAAGCGAAATGAAAGACTCTCCCAACCCAGGGGCCTAAGTAGATCTACACCCCCTGGAATCATCCTGGAAGTGGATGGCATGGGTTCTTGGATGACCACGTCTCTACAAACTAGGTGGTGTTCCACTTCCATGCTGGAAGACCCAGCGAGTGTAACCGGCCGCCCCAGCTCTCCCCCACACTCCTGGTCGCCGGTGCATTCGCACGGCCAGGATTGGATTCGACCTGGCACGAGCGGCCAAGATGCGGTTCGAAGGGACGGTCTTTGGCGTCGGACCGAACGGGAGAAAGAGAGGGATGGTCCGGTCGATGAAGGCACCATGGATGTGATCAGAATCCAGCCAAGTGTTACTCTACAGTTAGAAAGGAAGAGCCATGGAATGCAATAACAGTTAAAAACTGAACAAGTCTTCGTAACTGAAAGAATTACATACAAACACGTAAAACACACGTACAGTAAACCCAACACAAAGGCAACGCAATTGCCAGCACGCCGCGCTTAAGTCACCAGAAAAAATACTGTCTCGGATGCAAACCGATCGAACAAAATCAAGCACATGACGAACGTAAACCAAATAGCATACTGGTGTGTTTGATTTGTGTTTTGCAGGCTTCATTTTCTAAAGGAAATCCTATTTACACAAAACTCAGGGTAAACCACTACATAGCTTCAGCGGTGTGGCGATTTGATGGGCTCGTTTTGTACGTAGTTTGTGCGTGAATTGTTTCGTGCACTGTTTTGCGTGTGTTCTTTCCATCTATGTTCTCATTTGCAATGACGCAGGTTACTTTGCGTTTTGTTTGCGTGTCACTTGCGTTTCCCTACTTGCGTGAGAGGGGTTCGCATGTGGCCACGTTGGCATGTGCATGCTGTATGCCATTGTATGCCGTATGCCTCCGTCAACAACTGTTGACATTTCTCATCATTTCTCTCCCAGTCTGGGCTAGTGTGTCAGCCTTCTGGCAACTCCGTAGCAGCATTCTTTACATTCGATTGGGCTGCTGCGTCCGCCCTGCAAAAGTTTTATAACATAATGTTCGCGGGGCTGGTGAATGTTTTAAACAAAAATACTTTCCCAAAGTGTTACCCTCTTTGTATTTGTTTTACTCCATCTTACCATACTTTACCTATTGGTAGTACACTTGAGGGGGTTCACGATCCATCAGCACTGGCTCGCGCTCGTAGAGATGTTCTTCGAGGAAATTTGGGAACAGAAGCCAGCAACCCCTTTTAGTATTCTGAGTTGCTCTTGAGCCTGCAAAGCGTGGAAGATCAAGTCAAACTTGTCAGGAGAGACCACTGCTTTGTAATTTTTGACCCTTCTGATCGAGATGTCAGAGTCAACTCAAATATGGTTCTGCCTGGGTGTCGCACAAGTTTTGTATTGAAATTCGAGAGAACTTGAGTTGATCTGTTTTTGCACGTTCCTTTAAAGAGGAAAAGTAGCCATCAACGTCATCATCATATACATATGCATATGTATATATATGATATTATGCATCTATAGTATGATACATGTACGTGTGTGTGTGTGGGCAATATGGGACCATGACCAGCTGGCTACTAGTTGACTGACTAGACTACACCAAAAAAAGGCCACGGCTTGACTTCCAACTGGGCCAGGAGGTGTGTGCTCTTGGCCTTCATCAACCTCATGCGAGCCATTCGTAGGAACTCCCAGTCTCGGGCCGCGATCCCGTTCCACCTGCTGCGGGCAAGCGCTGTAGTAGGGCGGCCGGTCCGTCCTGGGCGGCGAAAAACCGCGAGTTGCTGGTCACGGAGTTCATGGGGTCGCTAGGTGGATCACATTGCCATGCTTTGTCATGAAGATGCCCCCGAAACCAAAGAACTTCAAGCCTCTTACGACCCAAACTGCATGGCCCCGTCGGATGCGCACCTGCATCCGGTGGTCAGGGGCATCTTTTCTCTCTCTCTCTCTCTCTCCCTCTCTCTCCCTCCCTCCTGACCACTACAACACTCTAATTAGTTCTCATTTCTGGTGATCTTTTTGAGAATCTTGGGCCTCACAGCTCGCTGCTATTTACAGCCTCTACATCCACAGCTAGTGTCAGCAGCTGGGCCTCCTCTAGGTTTTACCCTTGGGTGGCGTATGCTACGTTGGAATGGCTCCTTCCTCCTAAACTTTGGTGTCGGTTGGCTCACAAAACCTATGCTACGTTGGAATGGTTCCTTCCTCCGTTGGAATGGTTTATTATTTTATTATTGATCCAAATGTTACCCACGGTTGGCCCACCACAAGCATGCTACGTTGGAGCGGCTCTTTCCTTCTCTAAATTCAATCCTGAGTGCAGTAGTAGAGAGTGCACTTGAAGATCTGCATTTGTTCCTGCCTTCATGGCAGGCACAGCATCCTTAAGCAACCCCGCCAAACAAAATAGGCTGGGAGCCTTCAGAAATTCTAAGGGACAGGCTTGCGTTGGACGCCCACCTAGCTCCAGCAGAATAACCAAGAAGGAGCAACGATGAGTCAGCTTAAGAAAACGTAGTGCAGTTTCGTAGAAGTTGTTGGTGCAGTGCAGCATGAGTGTCATTCGCACCTGCAAAGAATCAGGTATTTCGAAGGTTCTGAGGCCCCTCCATCGTTTCCAGCCCAGGTCGTGTGGATGAGAATGGATCCATCGCAGCCTGGGTACTTTTGCGTGACTTGAATGTTTCATCCAAATTCTTAGTGAAGAGCAAAAATAACTGTTTTCAGGTGGCCCAGGTGTTTGTCCATCCTTGTTGGGATTGTTGACCCAAGAACCTCTAAAACTTAGATTAGATGTATTCTTAGACTGCAAACCCCCCAGCCCTGGCGGCAACTTTGTTCACCTCTTCCAGCCGGCTTTGGAGACTCCGACCTCGCCACCTCGCAGCCGGGACTCGGCAGCTGGGTCAGAGTCACCACCACACTGTGTCGGTGCACCGTCTTCTCGACACCCCCGGCGGGCGTGCCCGCGGGCGCCAAGTTGAGGTCCTCCTGGGAGTGGAAGCACAGCACCGGGCAGCGCCGGGGGCATGGGTGCGGTGTTTGAATTGGTGGAAGCACCGTCCAACTCCGGGGATTGGAAACATGCCACTCACCCAAAAGAAGGTTCTGGGCGCCTCACAGAATCGAAAGCAGGATTTGAACACCAAAAAGAAGCCAAGAGCCTCGCGGTTTCCAACCAAAGCCTTGAAGAGCGAACCAGGTTCCGCGGCCACACCGACTCGTCCGCCGTGCTCGTCGGTCGGAAAGGACGGAAGAGACGTGGGTTTCGGGATGGGTTTCGGGACTCCTTTGGTTCCACCTCTGCAGTGACCTGAGTGGGGAAGCGCTTCAGAAGTGTTTTCATGTGGCGGTGGAATGTTCAAAACCAGGGTACCTTGGTTATATATATCACCTACCTGGAAGGTCAAGCTACATGGTGGACCAGCCGATTGAATCCACATTGGGGTGTGGCGGCCTCTGGAATTTGACCATTGACAAAGGCAAGGAATCATGAACTTAATTGAATTTCTGTAATTTACAACTCTTGTGCAGATGTTTCCATCCCTCACAAGATGGGTTCCCAAGAATTACACAATAGTTGTTCCATTTTTCAGCGGGCATGGAAAGAATGTTGTGGATGCTCTTCACTCAAAATCAGTCGCCGTAGTCGCCACCCGACTAGGTCATAATTGTATCAATATTCCATCATTCTTCTATAGTGTATTGAGGAGTAGATGGCACAGACCCCAAGAGCTGGTTTAGATGAACCCCCATCATTCCATCATTCTTCTAACAATGCTGCGTTCCGCAACCCCTCTTCTGTAGCAACCTCTCGAACCCGCGCGGACGGCTGACGTTCCGCGCTCTCTCAACCCGCTCCTGACGACACTCCTCGATGGTCTTGACCTTGGAGCTCGTGCCAGAGGACGTCTTCACCGGCACCGGCAGAGGGTTCGTCGCCTGAGGTCGGTCGGTCAGCGGGCTCTTCCCGATTCCCGCGAAGAACGGCAGGCCGGCGGTCAAGAGTTGGTTCGATACGTGTTAAAAATAGAGGAGGAACATAAGGAACACGTATCTGCGACATGCCGTGACCATTCCTCCTTCCTCTGGGAGTGACTCAACCTGGTATTTGGAACATAGCGAAGCGCCCCCCCCCACCCATTACACTTCACGCCCGGTTCCATGCGGGATCTGCGGGTCACCTGGAATTGCTGGAAGCTGGACATCAGTGGGAAGGCATCCTGCATGGCAGCCAGCTGTGACCGCTGAGATGTCCCGAGTTCCGGATGTCTGCACTTCTGAATGTCCTTATTCATCTTATTCTCTAAAATTCTTGAAGCATGAGAACTTTAACCTCTAGAATTCATAAGACTTGTCCTAGTGACGAGTAAAGGATGCGATTTGGCTTGGGCTTTGGGATCTGTCTCCTCCGTTTCGAACAGTTGAGTGTGCACGTGCCATGGAGATGATTGAAACCTCCACAATGGGAGATTCACAAAACAATGGAACCTCCCAAAACGCGCCACTGCCCGGTCTAGTCTAGTCGTCCAAGCGCGAAGAAAAAAAAGAGAGCAGCCCGGGAAGTCGGTCAGGTGTTGAGCAACACCGCCCACATCGATCAAAACACCTGCAGGAAGCTCTTTAGGGTCCGGTGCGCTCCAAGGGCGGCGATTCGGAGCGAACGCCTCCCACCGGTGGTCGACGTTCACCCATGGCACCGGTGGTCGACGTGCGGTGTGGATGCGAACGACCGGGTCGGTCCAGATACGGGCGGGAAGAACGGTGCGGTGCCGGAGGAGCGGTCCGGGTGGTCAGGGTTCAGATCGAGCTGTGCCGGGCTGCCCAGGGACTTCTGCTGGTTGAACTCCGTGACACGTGCCTGGTCCGGTGTCTGGGGTGGAGCGAGGGGTGGACCGGGGGTGTCGTCTCGACCTCTACAGCCTGGACGTTGTGACGCATCCTGCAGGATTAGAAACATGGAAAAGAATCAAAACAAATTGCCGCATTGGTGGGGATTGCAGGGAATTGATGAAGCGGCATAGAATATCAAGGCCAAATCTCAAACACTATTTGTGCCACATGCTTGCCGTGAGCAGAACGGTCATTCTTAAAGCAGGGAGGAACTCTATAACCCTTGGCAACCCCATCTGGAAGAGATGTGGGAAGGCCACATGTACTTAGGATTAAGCATAAACACGTCATAGGAATAGAGCATCAAAACCTCACTACGGTCATAGAAGCTCAACCACTCCACGCATGCTCGATTTTTGTGGGGGTGCTACTGCGGGCAGCCAAAAATGCAAACACCCCATGTGAAACTGGGCCAGATACGAAAGAGCCTGGAACTCTGGGTTCCGGAACCCTGGCCCCCTGGCGCATGCTCCAGATGCGCCAGGTGATGGGCCAGAGTTTGGATGACCGGACCCGCTGCGCAGTCTGTTGGGCGTTGGGCATCGCCGTCTTGTGCCAGAGTCAGCAGACTGACTCACCAGGTGGTTTGAATCCACCCTGGTCCGGAAGTCTTTCCATTCTCCGCAACGTCATGTTCTACACGGCTGCATCAAGCAATGGGTTGGGTGGGCTATGGTGGGCTTGCATTGCGGCAAGCTCAACAATTCCGCCGTGGCCCTCTGCAAAATCTGTTGGGGAGAAACAACCTGGTAGCGAAACGCGCGGTCTTACAAACCTGATCAAGCCTGTCTACAGGTTCTGTTTTGGAGGGTCCGGGCATACCTGTGCCCCATGTGCCCTCTCTTTTCCCCACGGCCTTCTTCAAGAAGGCCACCTGGCCCACTTGGAAGTCGCTGCCCAAAGCGCTCTCGTTCCACAGGGTTAGCTCCATGGTGCTGTAGCCTGGCAGCCGTCGGGCGTCAAGCAGAACCCCAAAAGGACAACCTGTCTGAGGAGGGGTGCAGGTTCGAAGGTTAAACGGTTAAACTCTTTGGACCTTCTTTGCATCGGCTTTGCCCACTGAAATGCGCATGCTCCAAGCATTTGGCTGCTACTGTCCCCTTCCTGAAGCACTGAAGCAGCATTTGATTTGGCAAGTCCTCGCTCCAACATAAACCCCACTTAGCATGTCGATTGATAAATCAAGCTTGGTTGAGCTGACAGGTCAGCTCCTCAAGATCCTGTTGATTGATCAGTGGATGCATTCATTCCATCGTTTTCCAAGTAAGTGATCTCACAGAGGTGTTAGCACAAAGCATGGGACCCAACCCATCCAAACCCCAATGCTACTGCTATAGTACAGTGGCTTCAGAGTAGATGGCACTGGCGCCCCAAGATGTCCTTATCAGATAGGGATCCATATAAAGTCATATAAACCACCCACCCTTGGGAGCCCTTGTGCCATCTACTCTTGAACCCACAGATCCATGGGACAAGGCATTTGATGTGAGACGAGGCGGCACGAGCTCATTTTAGGTAATCCCCCAAATAGATGACCGTACCACGGTGTCCGATACCCTATTTTCTTACTCTATACTTCTCTATCTATATGACCAACGGAAACCTCCTGTCATATATGTCATAGGCTAGGACCGCGAGCTGCGACTCAACTTCGACCGGGACCTGACGGGACGCGCCCGCCGAACCCGTGAAAAGCGAGTTGTTCGCACCGCGCCTGCCGGGCCACTGGGGTCCCAAAGTCCAATCTCCCGCTTCGTCATCTCCTGCGGCGGGTCGCGTGGGCCCGAGCCGGGCTCGCGGGCTGGGATCCGCCGGTCGGGGTCCGGTGACGACAAGGTGGAGGAAGTGGTCTCGGAGACTCTGGGGCGATGTTGGAAATATGTTGCATCCAAGGTTCATCCCAAGATGATTTTGAAAGAAAAGAGGGAGACATCCGGCCCAAGGGGCGTGGCTGTCCATCCACTGTGTTGCAGCTGGTTTTCATGCACACCCATCTGTCACACAACAATCACGGAATGTGGGTATATGCACGAAGTGGGGATCTGTGCAAAAGCGAGAACGGTTTGAGACTGCAAAAAGTTGTGCTCATGTCAACCCTCGCTGTGTAGGAATGCTCCAAAGAGGGTTACTGTTCAAGGATTGGATGGCCAACAGTTGCATCTCTAGAAATCTCATGTCCTCATCCAAGGGCCCAATGAATTGGTGTCTAGGCGGTCTAAGACATTTCAAGAATCTATGAGTAGTAATATCTTAATAATAACTCGTAAATATATATATATATAACTAGCAGACTTAACTAGCGTCCATGACTAGCCCAATAATCAATAAACGATGTCTGAAAATGCTGCAAGTGAAAGGGAAAGAACGAAGAGAGGGCAGGACTTGAAACTGGTCTCAATTCTGCTGCAGCCAGGGGCCGGCTGTTCAACCATGATAGTCCCATGTTCAGGAGTTCAACACTGAGAAATCGTTCTTATCCAACAGCACCTCCGCATCAGTTCTGTGGGCAGCGTTTCCATTGGACGCATGCACTCCCCTCGTTCTCCCCCGACATCAACGGATCGAAGAACATCCATCGCACCACCCGACCCCCCCAACCCCCGCGCCCGGCCCGGGCCCCGCGCCCGGTTGGAGGTCTTGGCCACGAAGGTGAACGGTGGAGGAACGGAGTAGATGACCTCGGACCCGAGCGCCAAGGGCGTGAGGGTGAGGCTCGGGAGCCCTTGAGGGTGCACAGCAATGAGAGGATCTTTCTCTTGACCCTTGAGGGGTTTGGTGTCTTTTCCTCAATTCTGGCCTAATGAGGCCTAAGTTCACCCACCACGGCGGGGGGTGTCAACAAGAGACCCGCCATGGGGTCACCACACACCTCATCCTTCACCCCTTCCCTTCGGCACCAGGCGGCGGCTTTGACGTCGACCAGCGCCTCCGGAGCCAGCGCCGCCACGTCGCACAGGGGACGGAACTCGTAGCCTGAGAGGCCATCGAGCAACGAGCACCGGGCTGGAACGGCCGGAGGAGGGGTCCACGTGTCGCGTCGACGGCCTCCCTCCTTCTGGGGCGTTGGTGCTCGGCGTCCATGGACACCCCCTCTTCAGGCACCAGTGGCATTGGCACGGGCTGATGGGCCACCTTCATCTGTAACACCCCCGCACCACACTCTTGGAACAATGCCCACCCCCACAAGCCCATCATTCTGACAAACCCCTATTTTTTAGGGATCTAGTCTGATCCAGTCGTACCTTCTCAGGTGATGTGTTCGACAGAGTTATGTAGGTGCCAAAACGTCGGGTCCAGTCGTACCTTCTGAGGTTCGGTACGACTGGATCCCTAGAAATCCAATGGGCTTCCGCCTCCCTGCCGAAATGCCGATCCGGGGAATGCTCTGATCCTCCTCGCAGGCCTCGACCTGCGCCTGCCTCGGTGGGCCGGAACTTCTGCTCGGACATGGCTGGGACAAAGGACACCAAGACGGATTGGCCTAGAGAAGCCCTTAAGAGTCAGGGGGGGCTCAAAAGGATTCCAAAGACACAGCTGCTTCAGGGATTGGGTCTCCAAGACGGTCCGCCCCTAGTACATGTCTAATCCATCTATAGATCTACTCATCTACTCAGCTCCGGACACCCCGCTCGGACCCCCCCCTTGTCCCCTCGAGAGTCCCGACTCCTCAAAGGTGAGCACGAAGTCCCCGGTGTCGTAGCCTCGGAGGCTCCGCTTCGCTCCGCTTCGCTTCGCTTCGCACGGTCCCCCGATAATGTCGCTTCGCTTGCCTCGCGCCGAGCGAGAAGCGCAGAAGCTCCGCAAAGATCTGGGAAAGGGGGGGCACAGCTTCTGGTTGCTTGGTCTGAGTAGCCTGGCACAAATAGAGCGACGAGTAATAAACACAAAAAATGAGAAAACAACATAAACGATCTATTGATGTTCTAATTATGTTTTCTACAATAATATGAAAGAAAGCGGGGGAAGATAGATAGATAGATAGACAGACAGACAGATAGACAGATAGATAGATTCATAGATAGATTCATAGTAAATTCATAGATAGATAGATAGATGGATAGATGGATAGATGGATAGATGGATAGATAGATAGATAGATAGATCTCAAAGAAGTCCTTTTGGAAACCTTCTTTCCAAAAAATACCAAAACCCGGCAGAAACACCTGCTCTTGGGGGTGGGCTGTGTCAGCTGCCTTTTGAGACGAGTCATACGATGAATAGATCGATCCAGCTTGTTTTCCCTTGCTTTTCGGAGCCCCAAGTCTACAGCTCCGTCCTCTGAACGAAAACACAGATCTCGAGGCAGCCTTGTGGCTCGGCCGCCAGGTAAACATGTCCATTCCCAACTCATGGCCTAAAACCCCAAGAGCTGCCAGAGGAAACCTTCTACCTGACATCACCTGACCTACTTTAGGTGGTTCGCTTCGTCCACTTCCTTGCATCTGGCCTTCTACACCCTCCTCATGACCCGGCTGAACTCGTGGTTGCAAAGGTCCAAGTAGCGCTTGTTTGCCGTCTTCACTTGCCCGCGCGTGAAGGTATAAACCTCGCGTCGTTCCGGCTTCGCTGCTTCGGCAGATGGGACTTCCAGAGGGTCCAAGCATGATGAATGCTAAAGCCCTCCACATCCCTTGACCTGGAAGTTCTCCCATTGTTGCACCGACTTTGAACAGTCACAAACTCACATAGCACCAGTTCGAACTCATAACTTCTAACCTGTGAACTGCGTACGGAACTGGGGAAGGTTGAATGACAGTACGTCCTGAGCATGGGGAAGGCATCCCAAAAGGTGCACAACACCGCATAGATCAAAAGGGAAAAGCATCTTCGCCATCTTCAGGTCTTCTTCTGCCAGAGTTGAAACTCCTTGATACACTCCCCCTTTACTTGTTCGGATCTTTTCCTATTCTCCTTCCCAAACAGCAACCAACCATCTGATTCGGCCCACTCCGACCTCCGCCCCACCCGAAACCCGAAGGCCCAACCCCAACCACCGCCGCGCGGCCTGGCCGGGCTTCAGCATGCCGTGGTACTTGTCCACCGCGCGGCCGAAGAAGGTGGCCGACATCTCCCCCGACTGGTCCTTCAGGTCCACCTCACCCCGGCGCGCTCGCGCGGACCGTACGGGGACCCGTGCGCGGTCGGTCCGGAGTGAGGATGCATCTCTGAAAGTCTCCCCGGAGCTGGTCCAGATGGGAGGGACCAGACGAGGTCATGGGAGGAAGTGACATTCGGAAGTTACTTCTAGACTCTGCAAACAGTTGTTGAGTGGGTTTTGCATTGAGAGGGAACAATCTGGGTTTCTAAAGCACGCGCCTTTAAAAGGACATAATATATACACAATCAAATACATACTTCTTCATGGTGCATCGGGGGGGTCGTGGGGGTCCTTCCGTCAGGTTCCAGGTTCCATCTGTGCAGGTGCCACATCCGATGATGGATCCCATGAGTTCGGGCGTGTCACTGACACAAGGACACTTCTCCAGGACCCCCAACGAGTGGTCAATGGACACCCCAACAGACCCCTCCTAAGGGGCGCTCTTCATGGCACACGCTTTCCTTTCCGGTCATAAATCCCCTCAAGTTCTGTAGGTCCCTGGCCCTGACATTCCAAATGCGGTCACCTTTCTTCGATCTCTGCCTTGAAGAGCTGGCCCTCGCCGCGGCTGTTGTTGAACTTCCGGATGTCGCTTTTGGTCAACACACGCGCCTCGCAAGAAAACGGAGGGACTATATAATTTGGCATATCTAGGTATCACAGGAATATGCGCCAAAGCCCCGTGCCCTCCAAATGGGAATTACCATGAATTAACATAAAAGTTAACTCTTCCCTCGACACTAGCAGATCAAGTTGTATAATATATGCATATGGTTTATATAAATGCTGGGGGGTTATCGTAGATCTTTACACACGCTGTGGTCTTAACAAATGATGATGATGATGATGATGATGATGATGATGATGATGATGATGATGATGATGATGAGGAGGAGGAGGAGGATAATGACATCATGAAAATGAAATTGGTAGCTGCTCTCTATGGTCTATGGAGAGCCCTTGGCAGGAGCTTTCCCAAAAAGGACTCGATACACCCGCCGATACACCTGTCGTTTCATGTTCTCGGCGGGTCTTTGGGTTTGGGGTTGGCCCGACACATGGGAGAACTGCTGAGCAGCCAAAACTCTCGCCGAAAAGGCATTAAAACAACCAAGCAAGCCATACCAGCACCACCCCTTAACAAGGCATGCCCCATCCAAAGTTCCTTAAGCACAATACAGCATTTGGATCAAGACCTTAGACCGCTGGTGAGCCCCCGGCAGCATAGTTTTGGAGTGTCCTTTTGGCAGGCATCAGTTCAAGTGTGCAACCCCTTTTTGTGCCCTTGGCCGGTCAGGTGTCGGTATTAGAAGGGTTGTTCATCTGGAACGTCAATGAAGCTGGCAACTCGCCGGAAGACCTGACAACGCGCCGTCTGTGCAACGCAAAGACGTCAATGAACAGCACCAACAAATTGTGGATCTGGCCTCGTTTGGGGGGAGTAGTTTCTAGCGATGATATTGGCCCTTGCAATCGGGAACAAGCCCTTGCAATCCCACAAGCTGGCCAACCACAATCTTGCAAGTGCAGGTGTTGTCAGATCAAGTTCTTTGAGCTTTTTCAAGTCCATGTCTGGGATTCCACCGCCGCGGCCGCCAAACGCGGGTCGCGGCAGAACGCGCGCTTTGGTGGGTACGCGCCTTGATCTTCCAGCGGCCGCCCGCATAGGGGTTCAAGGAACCTCAGCTCAAACAGATTCACAGCTGGGGCCTCCGGGTTGGAGGCCTCCAGGCTGGAAATAGTGCACCATCCCGGGAACATGGGCCCTCTCAATTCTTCTTCACCAAACCAAGGCCATCATGCCAATGCCGGAAGGTGCGCCTTCTGATGGGCGGAGTGAGTGTTGAATCAGTGAGTGTTGAATCATTTGTGCAGTGGGTGTTGAATCATTTGTGGGCGGCGTCTTCTGATGCCCACGGTTGGGCCAAAGGGTGGATGACAGCTTTTCAGAACCACTTCACGGCACCATCCGTGAGCTTGACTCGAGTGCGACTTTGTGAAATGACTTAGGTGTAGCATAAGTGGGAGCTCTAGTGATCTTGAAATACTGCCACTCTCAATGTGAATACATGTCAGGACCCCTCCGTCCGTTGGTGGTGGGAATGCGGCATCCTACAGATGGGGCCGGGATGTTTGCAGCCTTCGCTCGGACATCTTGTGGATCATGTTGGCTGGAGATGAATGTTCCCAAACAATTCTTGCGGGTTCCACCGGCGAACTTGACCTCTCTTTAACCCTAAAGGCACGTGTATGCACTGAGAACATTGCGGGGTACCATCGTCATGAATCAATCATGTTGAATTCTGATAGGTGGTGGTATATATATACATATATTTCATTATATTTCATTGTATACGTTGATTCTCTGTCGTTAACAAATATTGTACACCGTGTTCGCCCCTGATCCACGATTCAATCGGCTGCTCCTTGACTCCTTGCCCGAAGCCCCACTCGGCCCACCCGTCGCTGCCTTTTTCGTCCGACGACGGTGCTCGGAGAAAACGGGTCGTGTCCAAAGCAGCGATGCCGTCTCCCCCGAGAGCGGGCAGCGGTTTCTGGTGGTTCCTGGTGGTTCTTGAGATCTTAGGCATTCTGGTGGTTCAAAACCCCAAGAGGTTCCCATGGGGCTTGCGTGGTTCAAGGATCTTTTCTGGTCCACCTCTTGAGCGAAGCATACGAGAAAACAGGTAGCTCTTGAGCAAGGTATCTTGGCGCCATGACCCACAGCCCAAAAATCGAATGCAACCTCGCATTCGATATTTTGGAAGAAAATGGTCACTCCGACTCACTAACATGGAGGGTTTGATCTTTATTCAAGCCCCCCCTTTTTTGGAGTACCAACTAACCTTCGTTCCCCCGGACTCTGCCGTTCCATAACGCGAACCGCACTTCGGACGCTTTTTTGCATATGGACGCCCCGATAGGTGTCCTCCACACTCGGTTGACAGGTTTATTGGCCCAACGGAGGGGCGAAGTCGATGGTTGGACTTCGGAGTTCTACTTGGGCTGGTCACACGGCCTGGTCACGGGGGAGATCCACGGGGGCCTGGCCCTCCGGGCCTAGCCTGTACACTGTACAGTGTTCGTTTGGGGATGGCATCGTCATTTTGGGACGTTGGGTTCGCTGCAGTGAAGTTGCTGCAAATGGTGGGTGGGGGGGAATGGTGGTGGAACAACTCAAGCAGCATTGGAAGCACTTCTTCTCTGGACGTTGCTCGATCATCTAAATCAAGGAAAGGAAACAAGTCCAATTTGACCCTAGGATGCCAGGCATCATGGAGCATGTAGGCAATTAGCGAATGAAAATATAATTAGTGATTATTGGTGAATTCAAGAAACACCGCATGAAACAAAACTAATCTATTAAATTTAAGTCTCAAACATTCTCAAACTATATACTAGATACATCGTTTCATTCTCTGCTCCCTTTCTGTTTGTTTCTGTTTGCTATTTGTGTTTGCCATGCAAGGCATGCAACAGCAGCCGGGTGGATAGCGAAGGTTGCAAATAGGGACCCTGAGTGACGTGTTCGTGCGATTTCGTTAGTCTTCACACCCCGACGGCTCGACGGCTCTAGCTGCTACGGTTCGTGCTGCAGTTCGTGCTACTAGCTCCTCACAGGGATGGAGGTGGTAGTGAGGTACCCCTTCACTTTCTGGATCGGCACCTAGCGTCACCCGAGAGCGGTGCCGATCACGTGGGACCGTTTTGGTGACGGATGAGATCGGGCAGATTCAATGAACAGAACATGCGGGGGAAAGAAACATGTAAAAACATCAAAATGTTCAAGAAAGAACTTTGAAACATGGAAGTGCCGGGCCAAATAGCATCAACATGTTCCAAAAAAGATCAAAAAAGGAAGCCCAAACAGGCCAAGGCTGGATTCGACCACCCAGTGAGAGGGCCGTACCGGCCGTTGGAAGGCGTAGAGCCATTGGCAGAGCTATTGATGGAGTGTTGGGATGGGGGGCCGCTCAACATCAGGTTATCAAATATCATCAGATCAGATCAGATCAGATCAAGGGCCGGTCCTCACTGAGGGTTAATAAAAAATCGAAGCAGCACCTGTTCCAAAAGGAGAGTCAGCAAAAGACCCAAACCATGTCGTGTGTCCGTCCTAAATGTGTTTGAACAATCTCCTGGCCCCACCATCGAGCTGGAGCTACCCTCACCCACAGCTGCCATGAGTTGCAATGGCCGTCTATCTGAGACCAGCATCTGGGTTGCTTCGACTATCGACTCAACCTGCCGCACTAAAAAGCTCATACATGCTATAATGCAATTGGTCCACACCTGGACCATAGAGTCTTTACTTTTGATCTCTTCCCGCTTCTCTTCTTCCTCCCCCATGCCATCCGCACCGCGCACCGTCTCCGTTCTTCCGGGCGCCTCGCCTCTTCCCGGTGGAAGATCCCCGCGGCCAGCGCCGCGTCGGCGCCCGTGGCCAGGGCCTCCTCGAAGTGCTCGGGCGTCCCCGCGCCGCTGGAGGCAATCACCGGCAAGGTGCAGGCGGTCTTCACCTCGCCAAGTCGAGAAGGAGGGCTGGCACCGGAGGGCTGGCAGGAAGGTGAAACGGTCAGGGTGAGCCCTCCCTAATAAAGAGATTTGTGAGGATGAAGTCAACTGAGTCCCTAATAACGGAGGATATGAAATGGATTGAACTCCGATGACGAGTGCTTGGTTTCTTCCAACGCCAACTATAACATTTTAGAATGTCTATGCCCCTATGCGATGTGCAAACGCGTGCGGGCTCTCTTCACTTGCGAGCTCTTTTCGTGGTCTCGACTCACGCGTGGTCTCGGGCGCCTGGTTGATCAGTTCAAGCTCATATCCAGTGCCTTGCCCATCTCGGTCGATGCAATTGAGAAGCAGTTCTCCAGCACCGAGTGCTTCCACCGCTTGTGCCAGCCTCAGCGCAACAGCACTCGCAACAGCAAATATCAGTTTGAAGCCTTAGGCCCTATGAGAAACGTCAAGAACGAAATTATATATCCACAGGGATGTGCGGGTGCTCCTGTTTAGAAGCAATGCAGTTTGTTAATCAGCACCGGTCTGCTTGACCAACCCTTTTTCAGTGAACGGCACGATTCAGCGATGGAAAAAGCTCAAACAATTGATCTCATAGGTTGGGTCGTTGTGTTGCGGGAGCCCACATGGTATTTGACTCCCGATCGGCCGATCGGGTCGGTGTTGCAACGCTACCCGCTACCCGGAGAGCACCAAGGAGCTGAACGACATCAAGCTCGCTGTCTTCCTCAGTTCTTTCCGGATCGGCCCCAAGTTCTCGGTACGACCTATGAGGCACAAGGAAAATGAGTCCTACAGCACCCCCTCCCCGGAACTCACATGGAAGTGGAGTGCACCCCCTCCTCTTCCCAAAAGGAAAACCATCCTCCAAGGGGGCCAGTGGCGGGGTACTCCTACAGTCACCAGCAGCACGGTCCTGCGTACGGAGCGGATCGGTCTGCGGCACGACCCGGGTGGAGCTTGGTTCCGTTTGGGCCGACACGCTGCCTGGTTCAGAGTCTCCGACGGCGCTGAAAGGTGCGACCATCAAAAGGATTGGATGTTCCATGGACCTCGAAAGCCTCGAAACCTCCCTGGAATCGTCAGGGTGCCATCCACATGGCGCCCCGAGTTCGGACACTAACCAGGTGAAAAAAGCCATTCACTTCCCATGATTCTCTCACATCTTTGAACATTGAAGAATGGCGCAAGCAGTGTCATGAATGAAGATTCCTATTGAGGCATGTCATGTCCTTTCCCACCGCACTCGCAAGGCAACTGGGCCCATTCGAATGCATTGGCTCCAACAACCACCCACCCCATCATTCGCCCATCCAGCCAAAGGTCTCTTCCACCCTTCACGGTGCAGCAGTACCAGGCGAAGCCTTCACCCTTGGGTCCCTTGGGCGTCCCTTCCTTCAGCTCGACCACAGCGTGGTTCGCCGCCGCGGCGGCATCGGGCACGTAGACGCGGCGAGGGTCGACGCTGATGACCACCTGAGGAGCTCGGAGGGGCTGAGATATGTGACCCAATGGAACCCTGGATGTGTTCGAAGGCAACACTAGGGGGACTTTTGATCCAGCAACCCTAGGAGCCTCTTAGACTCCTTTGGGGCAATCGTTTCAAGTGCTTGTGCCCACCTAGGCCAGCTATGGCCCCTGCATGGCTCCATGCACTTGTTCGCCTACCAACCTGCATGAGTGACCTCGAAGTTTGGAACCCCAACCACCTAAAACTCGCCCAAATTATGATTCCAAAAGGGTTATATAAATGGCGTTTGATGGGCCCTAGGATGCTCTAGGTACGTCATATTAGGTCATGCCTCTTCAAGGGTCGTGGTAGTTCACTGCAGGTCAAACATTCAAAAGGTGCAGGGTAGGGCCGTGGGGGGTTGGCCAACACAGTCTCGTCGGAAACCTCTTCGTCTTCCGATGGGCCTACACTACACGGGCCTCCATGTCGAACAGGTGTGCAGCTTCCACTCCTTGCTTGGACCCAAAAACGCATCCAACGACTCGCAGGTCGCCCGTGTTCGCCCCTCTCGTCCAGGGCACTGCTTGGCGACCGTACTTGGTACTGATCAGCTCAATCGAAGAGCTGCCATCGCCCTGATCCGAGATGGAAGGGCGATGGCCCCACCGCGACGGGCGAAGCGTCCCTGCAGCCTGTACATCCGAAGGGTTGCTATGTTGGGAATCCGAGGTGATGTTGACTACCAAATGTAGGGGGATTGACAATGCCAATGTGTCGTGCGCCGATCCAGGTTTGGAATCCGGTTTGAGGACCGGGTCTGTTGAGCTTGAACAGCATGGACTCCCGGGGTGCCAGGATTCCAGTGGACAGTGATGCACAAGTGGGAACCACAAGTGCGTGTAATATACGGTACGTTTGTTCCGTTTGGCTTAGTGGCTAACACAACGATACTTTGCGGCCACTCTCCTAACCTCTATAGTCTACCTCTTCTCTTCTGGTTGCTTTGATTTATTTTGCTCCCAAGGTTCCTCCCCGGACTCGTCCCCTTTTCGCGCCCCCGGCATCGGTCGAGCCTTCCGGCCCGCGGCATAGAAGGCCCGCGCCACCTCCACGGCATCGGAGCCGATCGAGATCTTGTCTGCCCCTGGCGGACGCCGACGATCCAAACCGTGTGGAGGGGGAAGCACCAGTTGGGGTAGAACGGGCACTTATAGAGTGGGGAATAGAGGGGTCGGGTACCATTGACCCATTTTATATCGATTATACTACTGACTATGTCACTTGAAGCACATTTGCCTAAGTCACCAGACAGTAGTAATTATATGTATATATATATACATTGATTGTACACTTGGGGAGCTTTCCCCTCTAATTGCTGACGCCGTCGATGCATCGGGGCATGGGCTGCTTGTGGACGGAGACTGTCCTAAGGCCTAAGGACGCAGGATGAAGACAGTCCAAGCATGCCCAGCAATCGCGTCAATCTCGGCAACAGGCCGTGGGATGCTGTGGCACGCGGTGCCGCACCGGCCTGCCCGAAAATAGGCATCTGCCACCTCCAGCGCCGAGTAGCTTTGACCCTTGGCATCGACATACGAACCTCAGATGGTCCCAACTGCTTGGTACAGGCTTGTCCCAACTGCTCAAGATGTGCCAGTTCCATGCCAGTTCGAGCACATTCAACAACAAACATCCATGACACCGGATCCGATTTTGATGTGAACCAGTTGCGGCATTGCATGCTTTTGACCCCAATGCTTTCCCAAATCCAAGGCAGCCATATGCAGCCTATATCGGCCTGCTGTTCTTGACCCGGCCCCGGCCGAAATAGTTAAGCTCCGAAGTCTCCTCATACCCTCTTCAGGCCATTTCCTCTACAAATCATGGGTCCACTTCAATAACGTGCTGCAGCAGACTCCCGACTACTTGCAGCATAATTACTCCAGCAATCGGATTTTGGGTGTTTCCCACATTTCGGGTGTTCCCAAGTGGTGACACTCCATGCAGAAATCTCGCGCACTCGACGCAGTCGACGCTGGTGGACCAATTGATCCACAGTTCGACCACTTCAGATGGGGTCCGCCCCTTGCGCCGTTGAAACGCTGAGTTGCGGCTCCACTTTGTTGGCTCAGTTGCTCACCAGAAAAGGAATAGGTCATCTGAAGACTCCTTCAACCCAGAACCCATTTGACCCCTTCATTTGATAGGAAAAGCACCCCTTTGGGCCTTCGGGTGATCCAAAATCGAGGCTCAGCTTCTCTAATCAGGCCTATATTTACAATGATCCCCCCGCCCCATTTGCACCCACCAAAATAGGCTCTATCACTAGAAAAAAAAACAAACCACCCCACCATGGTCTCCTCGCTGGGACCTCGCCACCCACCTCCCCACCATCTGCATCTGCGCTCCGGGCCACGGATGCCGCCGCCCACCGTCAGCGGCACGAAGATCCGCTCCGCGGAGAGGCGCAACCTCCGGTCCGGAGGGGCGTGGGGGGGGGCCACAGGACCATGTGCCGCTCTTAGGTGGTGATGATGGTATAATCCTCAGTAGTATACCTCTTGATATGGCCAGAGAACATGAATGGTCCCACTGCTACTTTCGAGGAAGGGAACAGCCCCCAATGCTGCGTTGGCATCACAAAGTGAACTCTTTGCTGCTCGAGCACTACCAGACTGCTCTTCCCCGGTGGTGGGACTTTTTTGTGCTTCTGGGGGTCATCGACCGTGGCCTCCCTGCTACTTGGCTTTCCATCCAAAAAATGTGGGAACGCGGTGGTGGATGTTCCCAGTTCGGTCGCCCAAAACTCACACCTTCCGCCGTTCCGCTCGTCGCTGGTCTACCAAGAGGCACTTCCAACATCGGCTGGTCGGTCAAGACCATATCCCTAAATGCTGTGATGTTCAGAAAGGAGACTTCCTCAGCCGCCCAGGCAATATCAGAAAACCCCCAGGTCGCAGCGTGGGTCCAGTCGCGACTGGCCTGTTTTTGGAGGTCAAGCGCACAACGAGAATGGGATGGTCCAATGGAAGATGAGAGAAGCAATAGAAAAATGTCCAACAAAGAGAAGAACAAAAGCCGGCAGGATTGACAAGTGGCAACACACCAACTGAGTCACATCTACGCATCAAGTTGCAAAGCCCAGCATATTGCCAAGTCTATCTCTGTCTCTCTTTCTATCCCTCTCTCTCTCTGAATTTGTCATATCATGTTATATATAGAGTGCGTGCCAAATATCCAACACGGTGGCAGTGGCCAGGGCAGAATCCAAGCAAGACCTTGAAGGCCTTGTCCACCCCTTAGCTGGACACCTTTGACCATCTGGATCGGCTCTTCGAGACCGCGCTGGCGGTGGCGACGTCTCACCAAGCCACATCGGCGCCATCCTGGTAGTATCGCTCTGCCAGCGCCACGGGCTTCCCGTGGTTGCGCACCTCGCCCTTCTCACGGACGTCGTACCTATAGGAACATCCGCCATCGGAGACGGGCCAAGGGAAAGAGGTCCGAGAAACGGCGCTGCTCCGAAACGGCCCTGCCATCGATCATCGGTTTCTATGCGAGACAGGGCGTGATGGAGGGCGCTCAAGAAATGCATCAACAAATGACCACCCTGTGCCACAGGGGGTCACCACCACACTGGCACACATGTTGATGGGGGTTAAAACCCGGTTCACCACATCCACTTGGTTCGCCCCATCGACTCACATCCCTTCCCGAACGGCGCGCAGTCGCCCTGCGACTGAACAAACGACCAGTCACACAATGACGTCCCAGTGGCTGGTCCCCCTTGGTGACCACCAAGTCCCCTGCATCGTTGGACCTGAGAGTGAGTGAGTTCGTCAACTGCATGGATCATGCAACTCACCGGGGCAATATACTTATAAGATCTTATAAGTCTGTTTTGATGTAATGTATTGTTTTGGGTTGTCGATGTTGCTTTCCTTATATACATTACATTTTCCGTCACATCTGTCTGCTTCTCCCAAAGATCTATTGGGCAATCATGGGCAATCCTATTACCAGGGCCCAGTGCATGATGATGCTTAGTTAGTAAAGGCATGTAAAGGCCTTTTGCTTAAATGGCGATATGGTATATAGTATACATGTTTACCGACTGTTACCGGTATCACTCCACTGCTCACTCCCCAAACCAAGGTCTTTTGGTCTCAGCAATGATCCTCCGCACCTCCTCTGCAGCCCGGGCGCCGCACGTCCAAACACGCGATGATCCGCCGCGCCGGCACTGCGGGCATCGCCGGCGCCGCGGCCGGCGCCTCGGCGGCGGCGCCGCTGGGCGCGCTGCCCTGGAGCCAGGATTGGAGGATCTTCAAGCCAGCCTGGGCGGGCGTCACGCGGATACAAGCACCCGCAAATTCGAAACGAGCAAATGGACGCAGACGCGTTCGTAGATGGCAGATTTGCTGCCCCCCCGAAACTCACGCGTCACCACTTGACCTTGACCCGAAATCTGCGCGTCGTTGTTTAAACATGTTCAAACCTCTGACTCTTAAAGGTAAGTCCACTAAACTCAACACGCGCTGTCCCTTGTTACGACCGGCGGCGGTTCCACTCTTCTCGGGGTGGAACTGCGTAGCCACACAGCGGCCCTGGCGCACAGCGCACACGAAGGTCTCGCCGTACTCAGAGCAGGCCAGGGCCCAGGGCGCAGCGCCTTCTGCGAAGCTCGCGCCGAAAAACCATATGGTTCTCAATTCATCTCAATTCCAGTCAATGATGATGGTTTTTGGGGGGACAAGCGGAGACTGCAAGATAGTTGAGAAGTATCCACTGTTGTGCGGGAGCACCCCCCACAAGCATTTGATGGGTGGGTTTGGAAAAAAGGCACCTCCATCAAACCACCCCTGTTTTTGCTATGGGTCAAAATTGGGATGCCGAACTTCACTCAAGCTACATGGTTTTGACTCATCCGCATTTCTCCACAACATCGCTCATCTAAAGCGTGCAAATCTCCCATCGTGCCTTCAGGCATGGGCACCCGATAGGAGTGCACAAAATAGCAGCGGGGCTGGTCCTTCTCCAAAGGCCAGGGCTCCAAGCGCATGGGTGCTACACCACTCCTGGCGGCTGACCCGCGTTCTTCATTGTTCATCAGGATGCCTTGCTCAGTTGCTCATGATCCGTTAGTGAGTCATATACACATCTTTGGCACCCTTAGGCCATAGGCCCCCGGGTGCGCAGCCATGCTCACCACTCTCCCAGTCAATTCCCAGACTCGGCTCAGCTCCGCGCGTCCGCGCCCCGCGCGTCCCGCGCGGTCCAGTTGATGTTTGGCACCGCCAGGCTCGTGGTGGGGAAGCGTCGCACCAGGCCCGGCAACAAGCCCAGGCCAGGCACACCTCAGCCAAAAACTCCACCGGAAAAGCTTGAGGAAAAGCACCAGGCCGTCAGGAGGCCTCCCCCCTCCAGGTTTGGTCTAGTCCTGACCACCAGCTCTTCAACTGGCCCCGGCCTGGCGACTCTTCACTTCCTTCAAAGAGGGTCTGCATGCCCAGGCAAATGCCGAAGAAGGGCCGGTCCTCTTTCAAGTACTGCCTCACCAGGCGTCTCACGGGATATTTCATCACATCTAGTTCACAATGATCGGGTCGCGGCGTACCCCTCGTCCATCCTAGCGGCCTCTCGTGCCACTCCCTAACCAATCCTGTGAGAATCAGAACGCTGCACGACTCGCTGAATGATGGCCTCTGACTCTGCCAGGGCTATCAACTCCCCTCCTTCCGCAGCTGGGGCCCATTGCCGACGCAAAGCCCAACTAAGTATTTATGGCATAAGGAGTCGAAGTTCCCACTCTCACTTCACAGAGGACTTTATATACACACATGATATTAAATAAATATTGATGTATAAACATGATATAAATCATGATAAACAATAGATATAAACAAATACACCCCGGCTTCAAACTCATCAAATGGGTCCTCTTCATCAATCGTCCGTCTACCAGAAAGACCTGTCTCAACACCCCCGGGACCCAACCCTGAAAAAACCACTGGTGGACCGCGGTCCACGTCCGCGTCTCCGCGTCTCCGCGTCTTCGCCACCTCAAGGGCTCCATGAAGCCCTTCCGCTGCAGCGCGTCCACGCAGGCGCCGAAGGCGCCCACACCCGGGAAGATCAGCCGCTCAGCCTATCGCCCGGGCACTGCGGGAGGCCAGGTGGTGGAGGCCAGGTGACTTGGAGTTCGGGTTTTGAGAGGGGTGATCTAGAGAGATCTAGAGGATGCAAAACGAAAAAGACAAGGTATAGTTGATCTTGGCCTGGAAGCCATGGGGATGAGTGTATGATGAATGAGATAGATCAAGATCCGCAAAGAGCGAAAGGCAAAGCTGCTTAGCTCACCACTTAGTCAGTCTTTTCAACGAATCCACGAAACAACGCCGAAAGTGCGATCGCCAAATCATCGGGTGCTACCCCACCCCAACTTCTTGCATCCTCTCCAACCAATCCAACGCTCCCAAAAAAGCTTTAGCGGTTTCGCCTTCGCCCCCAGGGAGCCCAATCGCCGGTCCTTGGTCCTCATTCCGCGGAATCGTCGCGCTGTCGTCGCGTCAGTCGAGGCCTTCAAGATGTCCTCGGGCGTTTCAACGAAGTGCACCTGGAGGGCGCGGGCGGGCAAACGAGGTGCACCGAGCTGTTCAGCGAGATGCAGCACCGAGCTGGGGGGCGAAACAGTAACAGAAGGTGGATGTTGGAAACAAAGATATGGACACTGGACAAAGACTCCTAATACTCCAACTCCTTGAAGATTTTGACTAAGAGCATGAGTAGCATGAGTATGTCCTCTAGGAGGCCGGTGGATTGGGGGTTCCACGCCTGTCTTGGGACTGATACTCACCGAATCAAGCTTGGAAGATATATTTAGTCAGAAAGCTGATGCACAAAAGGATCAGACCATGTCACTAACTGCAAAAACGTTACATTTCTCAAATCCTGAAACCTTTGGTCTGATAGCACATCCATTCTCTAACAGTCTCTAACGTAGTTACTTATTTCCATCAAAAATGCTAACCCGCAGATGTGTCTCAAACTGATGGACTCCCCATTTATTCCCTTCCATGAGGCCGAGGCCGCACGACAGTCAGTGCGAGCGCGGAACTCCTTCGCACCCGGAAATCCTTTCAACGGCACCTTGTACCCCAATGACTGGATCGCATTGAAGACCTGGGTCCGAATGGAGCGAAGAAGTCACCCCTGGCGCCTGGGTCCGAAAGTCCACCTACGAGTAATGGACCAAAAGGTCTGATGAAATGTGTCGTAACTGCTCATTGTGTCATGTAAAGACTAGTTTTGGACCATGCTCACCTGTTTGCCGCTTTTTTTGGAGCTGCCCCGACCGCATCCCACAGCCATCCGAAGACATACTACCTAAATTCAGTGTGCTGCACTGCACTTGGTTGAATCAATCATGCGTTCCCAAAGAAGGGGGCAAGAATCCTGGAGCTTCAACCTGGACCGAACTAATTGATGCATTGAGGCCGGCCAGTTTTTAGACTTTAAACACTACCCCCCGCGTCCAATGTAGGAGTTTGAGCCATTGGCAGGCTCTCGGCCACGTGTCTAGCGAAACGAAAAGCCCAAGAATTGAGCTGTAACCACCCCAGCTCCATCACTTGAAGTCATTAGGACGCAGCATACGCATTTGAGTCATGCACATTAGCCCCAATCTTTCGCGTTCAAAGGGCACAAAGTGCATTCCAAATGCTGCAAAGATCACTTCTCGAGTCCATCGTGGTCTCTACAGGTTCGCCAGGTCCCACTTGCCCCGCTCCAAGCGACGCTCTTGACGTTTCCCGCGCCATAGTCCAGCAGCGTCACATCCATGGCGAGGTCCCGCGGCGGGGGGTGTCAACCGGCCGCGGCGCCCGCTTCGAGTGTCTGGTGGCCCAAAGCAAGGAACAAGGAACATGCCAGCCGGCTGGATCCATTCCAAGACTGAGACTGCCAACAGAACAAGCCCTCCGGCTTGGTGCATCGGTGTAACATCGGGTATTTGTCCGCCACTATAACACTATGAACCACTGAATTCAGCTCAGGTGCCAAGCACTCACTTTCATGCACTCTGTTCTCCAATCCCTGTTCTTCATCCACCACGCCTCTAAAACCGTTAAACCGGTCCGAATGTGCTCGGTCCACATGTTTGAGGTGCCGGTCCACCGGTCTTCCCTCGTCGGTCCCGGTCTTCCAAACCTGCCAAGGCTCGCAACACCTGGAAGTTTCCGGAGGGCGTCATCGCGCGCGACGCCTGGCATCCCCCACGCCATCCCCTGAGTGATCGCGTCATCGCGCCCGTTTTGGGGGCGCTCTTACGTCACCACCGGGCGCGGACCGGGGGTGGTGACTCTGACCAAGAGGTCACCCTTTCCGCCGGAGGAACGGGTGGAGGAACGCCCTTGAAGTCGACTTCTCGTTGAAAGGAAGTCGACGACGATGTCTCTTGCGCTGAGACGAACCCCGCCAGCCTGGGTATGTCCAGGGTCAATGCCTCCGGCAGCACGGCACAATGTTCGTTTCAATGTGACAGGTCATCTTTGGGTTTGGTATGGCTTAGCGATCAAGAAGGGCGCACGAAAGACTGTTTTGAAGTTGTCTTTTTGGGGTCCGGAGTGGTATGGCCAACTTTGACCTATATAGACCTAGCAATCCCAGGTGCGCCATGCGGGTAAAAGTCTGTCAGATGCTCAAACACATTCTGGAGTCTGATAAATGGATACGATCAACTCCGAATCGTTTCTCAACACCGAAGCCCGAGGAAAAGAAAGGCGTCTTCGCAACACCACATCTCCTCACCTCCGCTCGGGCTCACCATTGGGCTCGCCGCCATCGGCGCGGAGACCGGCGCGGTGGGAACGGCGTGCGACGGCTGCATGCTGGGCGGCAGGGACCTGACGGTCGGGGGATGGCCAGGATTCCAAAAAAGAGAGCACTCAGGAAATCTGGAGATGATCAGGAATCATAAAACCATGTAAAGAGGAGAATGCTATGACTTGCTAAACTTCTGGAGATGTTCATGCCATCTACTCCAGCATGCTCTAGCATTAATATAGTTGTGTAGTTCATGGTCGACCTAAGTTACGTACCTACCTGCCAATCATTGGCTTCTACGAATTGTAAAACAACAAAGGTTGAGGCTGATATCATAGACCTTCGTGGAGGTTGAACCAGGTTACACCAAAGACCGAAAAACACCCGTGTCGCGGCCAGTCGGAAGGTCGAAGCAGTTCCCACTGCCAACGCCACCGCCGCACCGGGCTACTGCCGGGATCGATGCGCAGACCCGGCGGAAAAGAGGCAACGCGAAAAGACCCAAACGAGTCCAGGTGAGATGTGTTTCGTCTACCTGACAAGGAAACCATTTGTCGCTTCGCTGCATTTCGCTGCCTTTGGGCACCTAGGTGAAGCAAAAGCTCTGAGCCTACAAGAAGAAACCAATCATAAGCCGCCCAGGACAACCACTCAAAATTAAATGTTCAGTCACAACTGGGAAGATCAAAATCTTGTCAAATTCAGCCCTGTTGCCTGCACACTATTGGCTGCTCAATTCACATCTGGTTAGATGAAGCTCTCCAATTCAATAAACAATTATCAAAACCATGTGCAACACATCTGAAGGTGCTTTCAAAGGCCTTGCCGGCGAGTCACCCTGCAAACTACATCTATTTTACAAAGACTCTGTGTGGTGCGCCCAACGTCTCAGCCTTGCTCTGGAGTAGGGGTTGTCGGCCAAGTCGGCCCTCAAACATGGGCCTCGTGCGATTCCGATCGAGCGCGGGATAGCGCCGGTGCGCAGAAGATCACCCTGAGACCCGTCGCACGGCGGGATGTGGGAAGACTCCCAAAGATGCCACATGGACCCCGACAATGGCACCCTCAAAGGCTGGGGTTTTTCTCTATCACCCAGTGGGGAAGTTTTTCAAGGTCCCGCTGGACAGCGGGGCCACCGAACGTTCTGCCTGTTCTTGCACGAGTGGGGGCAACGCCCCATCACCCCAAAGGTGGTTTTTCCCGGGTATATCGGTGACAGGGGGGTTGGGTTGAACTGTCTAGAGCTTCTTCCATCGCCCACCAAGCAGTTGCCAGAACCCACCGGTGGAAAGCCATGGACCACCGAGCTGCCGAAAAGGGCCGCAGGAGTGCATATTCCCCTAGAAGTCGAACCACCATTGATTTACAGTAGTAGCCTGAAAACCGAACAACCATGGTTTCACTAAGGGTTTTACACTATAAAACTCTAAAACCAGATCAACCATTTAAAAAAATATATGGTCTTTGACTTCCAGGGCATTCATAGGGAGAATCCCAACTTGAGGTGAACGGGCCTCAAGGAACGCTCGCCGCTGGTGAACGCTCGCTTTGATGAACGACCTTTTGGAGTCCCTTTTGGATCCATCTTCCGACCCTTGCAGGGGGGGGTCAGTCTCCCTGGATTTTTCATGCAAACCCATACCAGGTCCTTCATCCATACCGTGAGCCGACCGCTTCAACCAACCGCGTCCCGGACGGCGCACATCCAAACCGCTCGCACCTGGCTGCGTCTCTGCCTCTGCGATGTTCACGTGGCCTGGCTCGGACCGTGGTTCTCCGTGGTTCCCCGTGCAAAGAAAAAGGACCGCGCAGCTGGCCGATCGTATAGCCGCAGCACTGGCTACAGCTGCTCAAGAGCAACTAAGGCTAGACAGTCCCACGTCGAGCTGGTGACGTGACGAGCTCTAATTCCGCCACCGGAAATCGAGGAATTCGGGTGAACCCTGGCCCTTCGGGTGGGGAAAAGATCCCCAGTTAGTCGCACTGGGCGCCCTTCATCCGAGGCGCCGTGCACCTCGTCGCCTGGATCGGTCTTTGGCGCCGCGACGGGGGGCGAACGGATGGTCTGAACTCGATGGGTGAGAAAGCAGATCGAACAAAAATATCTCAGCAATCTATTTAGAAAAAAAGTAACAATAAGAAAATAAATATAAGCATACCGGTAGATATACACACCCTAGGGATCCAAGGACCTTCTCAGAAGGTGTTTGGGGTAGGTTTGGAGGGTCCAGGTGCCTTCTGAGAAGGTACTTGGATCCTTAGGGACATAATACTATATTTTTACACATAATATACCGTATACCGGCATACCGGTATACCTATATTCTGTAAATACAGTATATATACAGTGTCCTTCCTCGGGATCCTTGTCAGCACGTGCACCCCCAGCCCCGACCCAGTGGACCCCTTCGACCGTGTGGGCAGGTGGCGAGCAGGTCCCGTTTTGGTCCCAAAACCTGTGGCGCCCGTCTCGTCCAAACCGGAGGCCACCAGGACACCGGTCTTGGGCCCCGCCTGACAGCGGCAGTTCCCGCATCGCCTGCCGATCTCGGAGGGATCGTTCGCTCCACCCGCCGCCCCCTCCTCTCGGGTCCCACGCGGCGAATCCGCTACAGCTACAGTCGACCGATTTCGGCTCGCCCCCTGAATGAGGGAATGGTCAAGAAATATGAAGGCAACGGACCGTCACAATGGTCCAAAGCAGAGTAATACATATCGTTACCATCATGTGGATGACGAACTATTCCCCAACATCCTTGCACAAACCCTGTGCAAAAAAATGAGGGGAATCTACCTACAACCTACAAAGTGGTTTTTGGCCATTCAAGCGGGCACGTTGCAGGTCCAGACAGCAACAAAGACAACCTTTCGAGCGGTTGACAGCTGACATTGAGGGTCCAAACTCCACCATCTACAAACCCTCAAAAGCCGACATGAAACCCCAAAACCCATGCATAGTATAGAGAGAGATCCCCAAAAAGTGTGCCCCGATTCAACCCAGTTCCAGTCTCATGATTGCTTGGTTACCCGAGCTATATAATGTACAGTAAATATCTAAATCAATCATTCTAAATCTATCTACCTACCTACCAACCTATCTATCTACAGTATCTATCTATCTATCTACAGTATACCTACGTATCTATCCATCCATCCATCCATCCATCCATCCACATGGGGATGCGGTGGCTCTAAAGGCAATGCCCACTTCACCCACCAACGTTGCATGCCCACCCAGAGTGCCTAGGAACGCTCACTTCTCATTCTTTGATTATATCATGTCTAAACCTTCTGTCTTTACTCTCCCCCCACCCCACCCCCAGCAAAAACAGCCTGAACAACAAAAAAGGAGTGCTTTCGAAGCTTCGCGAGGTGGCGACCCGGGTGCTTTCGACGTGTCAGCCGGTCAGGCGGTGCCCGGTGCCCGGTGCGGTGGACGTGCGGCGCCTGGGTCATCCCGATTTCCGCCTTCCAACGGTCGATGTGTGGCAGCAAGTGGGCACGCTGCCGAGGTGTCGCCGCTGGAGGGTGGTTGAATTCAGAATCAATTCAAAGGCTATTCACATGCTCAAGTCAGCTCAACTCAGCTCTTCTGTTCGGAGCCGGAAGGGAAGAAAACGGAAAGACACAGGACGTATTGAGGAGGCATACGTCAGATGAAAATCAGTATAGTATTGGAGTGCGTTTCTATAGGTTCTGAACTCTCAGTCATGTGAGTAGTGACTGAGTAGTGGTTCCCACATCGTGGAATCATGCGGCCAGGTGTCGGCTTCACCTGGCACAGTCCAAACAAAACACACACACATGTATATATAACTATATATTTTATATAGAACCCATGTGACCTCCTTTTAAATAGGAAAGGACCATGAAAGGACCATATGTTGAATATTATCGTTGATCCTCCAAAATAGCGGTGGAAGCTCTTCGCGCACCCCGCGCACCACTCGGCCCAATTGGAAGCTTCTCGGCTCTCGCTCCACACCTGGGGGGGCTGCCTGGGGAGCTTGGTGAGCTGG